GGCGTGTCAGGGGAGGAGTCTCACGTGCGCTAAGTTCCACATTCATTGGGATGTGTAAAGGAAAGGTGCGCAGGAACATGCATGCGCACGGTTTTATACATCTGAATATTTTGGTGCGGCGCACTTTTCTAAATTTGTCCGTATGTCAACTTTTAGTGTGAAAGCTGCGCAATCCTTTATGCATGAGGCCCCAGATCTGGCAAGCACTGATGGCAAAAATTAACCTTATTTAATGACGCAATTGGTCCAGAAAAAAACAAAATTTCCGCTCATGAAAACRTTCTTCCTGCTTAAGCTATCGTAAAAGTACACCAAACAGGAGGTAAAAGACAATTTATTTCCTTTATTTAACCAGGAAAGTCCCATTGAGATTAAAAACCTCTTTTTCAAGGGAGTCCTGGCCAAGAGGCAGCAAAAATTGAATGTTTTAATTTGTCTGCAGCTCATCCATTCATTGGTTTTAAATTTCAGCTGCTCGCACTTTGTGTCACTCAGCAAATAGTCAGTCTTAGCTATTATTAGCACTTCTCTGTTTCAGCTGAGCATCAACACTTTACGGCAACGAGTGGAAAATGTGTTTATATGCAGAAAGTCCCTGCAGATGTTGCCCTCATTAGCTGGCAGGTTGGGAATTCGACACGCCGCTGGCTTTTCTTTAGTTAGAACCTTTAACCGACGTGTCTGTGAGTCACACTCACAAATTCATGTCAGAGGCTATCTCACTTTGTCCTGCCATGAAAGGCAAAGGAAACTGTACTCCGGGGTAAACAGCGTTCAGACAATACTACATTTATTATCCAGGAAGAATTTTATGATGGGTGGACGTATAAGATATATAATGTCACTGATAAACACAGTGCAAAGTACACAGATACCAGTGAAACAGTAATGGGTTGCTTAAAACTGCACGTTTTGTCATAAAAGTGTTGTCAGATTTTAAGATTTTTATTTTGTGTCTACAGCCGTAAAACAGGCCAGTACACTCTTCAGCAGAACCCATATATCCAACAAGAAGACAAATCTGAACCTTCCTTGACTACAAACAGCGCAAAGTCCAGCAGCACCAATGCATCGGTGGGCCTCGGCTCTAGTTCTGCGGGCAGCTCCAGGTCCCAGCCGTTCTCCAGTCCCAGGCACAGCCCCAACACCAGAACCAGACACCCGCTCAAATGTCAGCGCAGCTTTTCTCAGGTAGGCCCCCAAAGAATGATGAAAAGTTGTGTTGTTGGTGTTTATTTCTTTTTCTCTTTTGTCTAGCAACCCAAGCTGAAGGGGGTCCCCGGGGGACAATAATAAAGGGGCCAATTGCAACGACAATGTCAAAGACAGAGAGCGTTGAAATGACTGCCGTACTCACGCTATCCCCTTATTTCATCTATTTATTGAAATTTAGCACACAATATAGGCTATTGTTAGTGTGGTAGGTGACTGTATTTTTTTAATAATAAAGTATTATTATAAATTTAAAAGCTGCCACAAATACATTATCAAACTATTTAATGGTGCATTTGACCAAACCATCGAAAACATGGATGAAATAGAAAAATATGAAACACAAATAAAAAAAAAGTAGTGTTTATGTAGATGTAGTATAGTCCTGAGTTTGATAATCCCAACAATTTATATTCCTTTTCCTTCTGTTTACTGAGGCCATCAAACAGCTGAAAATTTGTGAGGAAAAAAACCCATCTTGTTGTTTAAATGCTTCTTTTTAATCCATCGTTTAAATGGAAATAAGAGAAACAACATAAAATCTTGTTTACATGGATGTGACTCTAATGTTGGGGAAAAGCGAAACATTGTGCTGACATCACAGTTGACGCATTGCGTCATTAAGCCCCGCCCCCAGCGGAGCTGTTCTGTGTTTTGGAGGGGCTGAGTTAGCAATAGCTTGTCAGGGTCTCAGCATTTCTTCACAAAGTAGAATAACAAAAATATGATGTAATATATGACTGATGTAGTAATATAGATAAAGGTTTATGAACTGCAATCATAAATAGATAACTTGTGTAGAGGAAATCATTAAAAACAAATGAAGTGAGTCAAAACAAAATGATTTTACTCTTGAAATTCAGTTAAAAAATTAAAAAAATTGATGTAAAGAATTGTATTTTTCTTATAGAGAATTTAAAAAAAAGGTTTGGGAATTTTATCTAATCAAAACTGCTCAGCTAGCTGCTCCCAGAGGCTTGTTCTGACAGGCTGTTCTTGTTTTATTTTTCATCTACTTGTTGCATCACATCCTGAAGTTTTGTCGTTTTTTTTTGGTTTTTTTGGGGGCTGGTTAAAAAATTTCAAGGAAGACAAATTGCAGAAACAAGAACGGCAACTTGAAACTGCAAAGGAAAAGACCGCAAAGTTTTTGTGTGCTTGAACTTTTTTTGCAGGATTCGCTGAACGAGCAGGAGATGGACGACTACTGGAAGGAGGTCGAGAATATCACCAGCTCAGGAGGAGGAGGAGCAGGGAGGGCAGAAGGAGAAGTTCAAGAGGAGGAGCAGCAAAAAGCTCCTGAAGGTGGGAGACACTAACTATAGGAAGAATTAGAAAGGACATAAATTTAATTTTCTGTAGTAAAGTATTCAGATTTGGATTATGCGGATTATTTGGATTTATTATTTATTTAGATTATTCGGATTTGATTGTGAGGTAATTTTTTTGTGTTTGTATGTTTTCAGATATGAACTGAGTATCAGAAAATTGTTTTGTAAAAAAAAAGAAAGAAAAGAAAGCAGCTAAACTCACAGCTTGTCAACATTTTCACATCTTTTTCAGTGTCACTAAGTTGCTAAATCAGAGCTTTCACACCCAAACTCTTCAGTTTTGCGTTTTATTGCAGCTGTATTTGATTTTAGGGAAATATTTTAATGCCGTGTGTGTTGAAGCAGAGGAATCAGCACAAGCTCAGACYTGTGCACACTACTATCTTTGCATTGCACATTTAGAATGTCGGTCATGTCTATCTTATCATGTAAAGAATAACCTTCAACTGATTAAACCTTCCTAATTACATCACCATAGACACTTGAAATGTCAAATAAACTTCAGTTCTGATGTTGTTTTATYATATTTGATCTTCGTTCCATTTTATAAAGTAGTAGTGATTTTGTCATTTCAAAAGCCACTTTTTACCTCGACAGTTATGTTCCAGTGTTTGTTTCATTCAGAAGGCGAGCAGGAGGAGGCGTGGCTTGCAGAGGCGGGGCTAACACGGCTCTTTGATGATTCGTTGGAAGCTGATGATCACGACCAGGTGTCAATCATTTACCTCCTTTGCAACACTGACAGGCATACACTGATGGCCATGTGTTAAACAGTAGATTAGTGGGGGGGGGGGGGGGGACGGAATACATCAGTCGTGGTTTGACCTCATGTCTGACCCTGTTTGATTGATTGACAGGAAGAAGACAGTGCTGTGTTCCTGTCCACCCTCACCAGGACGCAGGCCGCAGCGGTGGAACGCCGGGTGACTTCGCTGCATCAGACATTGCTACGGCGACGCAACCGCCAACACCTTCCTGATGTCCGGGACATATTTAGACCTCTGGGAAAGGTGAGGAGGTGAAGGTCGTGAGGAGGTGAAGGTCGTGAGGAGGTGAAGGTCGTGACAAAACGTAACAAATGAAGAAATGAGGAGATCTGCTGCTTTCTGTCGGCCTCTACACAATCCTCTCTCCCATTTCATAGAAAAATGTGAATAAAACTTAAACAAGCTTACATTCTGATAAACTTTAAATTCATTACAGCACAAAAGCCAGGTTGTGAAATAGGGTGACTAAAAGTGTTACGAGATTTGTTATTGAAGCTGGAGATTGAAAGTTCTCATCTAAAATTATTAGGGGCGCAACGATGCAGAAAATTCACAATTCGGTTCGGTTCGATACTTTAGTCTCCATCCATCCATCCATCCATC